TCAGACGCTTGGGAATCCACCAGTGTATTTGTGGATATCCACAAATACACTGGTTATTTTAAGACATATATAAGTCCTGCAAAAGTACATGCATCGTCTTCAATATTGTGGGTCAAATAAGTGTTTGATAATAAATTAAAAACTTTAATCTGCTCTTAGTTAACTGAAAGTGGGCTGACATTGCAGCTGATTGGATGAATTGATACAGTTGATGTTGAGGTGAAAGTTAAAAGGGTTAAGGCCTTGACATAGTTCATCAGTTCTCATTGACGTAGGCATGCAACAAAGATTGCATCTACTTTGACAGCTCTGTGCAATTCTGATTGATCACAAGTTTATTCCTGTGCTTCTATGTGGAAATGCGTTCAGATTTTGGTTTTTGTATCTCCAGGAGACAGGAGTATTTGTGATTGAAGAATGTTTTTTCTGATGCTGTGAGGAATTATTTACATTTGTACGATTCTTCACTATACATCTCCTATCATAGTAATCCCGGAAAGTGGTTTATAAGTCCTGGGTGGAAATTGCGATGTTGTTGTTCGCAGGAAAGTGTGGCGTTAGCTCCTTGACCTCTTTGTCAAAAGCAAAACAGAAAATTTAGGGTCTGTGCTGTTGTTTGTGCAGTCCATAATCACATGATTATTCGGACAAAGCATGTGGGAGCGTTGAGGATCAGGAGTTAGCCTCACCCAACCCGATCAAATTTCTACCGCTAACTGGTTGCTGACAAACACAATAGATTGAGTGACGGGTGGCATTATGTCAACGGTTATCGTTCTAGTAGAAATGCGGCACCTGGAGAAAAAAATTGAGGACACCCAATAAAATATGAAGTTGTTTGGCCAGTGCATCACATGCTTTGAGGACCACCATCAGCTATGTGGTCGAGTCAGTCGAGTGTAAATTTTGGCAGATTCCAGTTGTCATTTCAACAATCAGTGCATCTCTTGAGACTGAAAACGTTAAATTAAAGGCTAATAATACAAAGTTTCTCTACTCTAGTGATTGAAAAAGCCAACTTAGCAAGGAAATTTCAATAAGAACAATTTCTAACTTTTTTTTTTTTATAAGTATTGACAAGCCAACAACTAAGGAGCCTACCTCAAATCAAGCAAAACAACCAGAGACTGCAAGAGCACCAAAGTATTTCATATTTGTAATTTCAGCCAATCATTTCTGTATTTAGCAACTGGTAAAGCCTGTGTGCTTTACCAGTTGCACGGCCCTAATCAGCATGAAGTCTTTCCTTATTAAAATATTTCACTGTTATTCTCCTGATTGCTCAGCGATGACTGCCTGTATTTACAGATTATTTAAATTATTCTCCGCGTGTGGGCCCCGGTGGCTTTGTGTTTGTGTGCGTTTGCTCGTCAGAGGGGTATGTATTGACAGATGGCCCGCTCTCCGTGAGCTGAGCAGAGCTGCTTAATGGAGAGAAAAAAGAAGTGGAGAGGGAGCATTAGTTGGCTCTGTCCTGAGTTGCTTTGCCTGCGATAGAGGAAGAGACATATTAACTGGGTCGCAGCATTTCTCCTGAAGCACTCCGTCGTGATCCTAATTGATGTCTGTGTCTTTACTTGTTTGTTTACAATGATTTGTCTTTCCCCTCAGTCCCTCTCCGTGCATTCTTAACTTCCATCCCTCTTCCTCCTCATCATCGTTCCCCCCATCTCGGAGGGAGACAGGTGGCCGGTAGCTCCCTCTCCTCCTGCCTTCTCGTCTCCCCGCCTATTTCCTGCGCTCCATCAAACAGACAAAGCCCGAGGTCTCGCCATTGGAGCCTTGTGAATTTTTCAGCTGTCTGAAAATCTCTGGCGGACAGAAATTTACAGTAGCTTCAGGGCAGCGGACCGGGGACAAGGGCATCCACACATTTACACACAGAGACACACACGCAGTCAGCAAATTTGTGGAGATCTTGGTAGCTTACAACACGCGTTCAAAACACACTTGTGATGTACAGTTCAGACCCACAGCAGACAGACGGGGTTATTCCTGCGACTGCATTGATCCACTCAGAAATGTTTATGGCTCCAGAGCCGCACTTCCTCTTAAAATACAATTTGCGTTGATGAGTCAGTAGGCGTGGATTTCTGACAGGTTTATTGAAAATACAACAGGAAGCTGTAAATATGAGCAATCCTTATTCTATAATAATGTCAATTTGCGCATCTGTAAACCTCAAATTGTTTCCTCGGGTGTATTTTTTCTGGCTTTGCCTTTTAGCGGGAGGACATAAGTACATTGGGTATTAGACGTGATGTATCCAGGTGACTTTTTTTTGCTCTGCTTTCCTACAGAAAAAAAAAAAAACATTTAGATCTTCAAATGTTCCTCAAATGTGCATTTGACTTTCCTAATGTTTTATAGTAAGATTTTAGAAACTTTCATTGTTTCTGTGCAGATGTGACACTAGATTAGTTACAGGTAGGATGACCTCGATTAATAAAACATCACAGTTCCATAGTACAAGTTAAACATAATACTGTATAACATGATACATGTCACCCATACCGACCACTTGATATCAATTTCTCTGGAAACTGAGGCATAACAAAATGAATGAGTGTTCAAAATATTGTTTTCTTGCCTTCAGTTATTTATACAAGAAGCAGAGAAGTGGTGCACCTTATGTACGAGTAGCCACAGTAAAACAATGATGTGGATAACAAGGGCAAAACAACTTTAAATAGTTCTTAGCATCTTATGTTAGCCACTAGCAAGGCTAAAATTGTTACTATTATTAAAACAACAGTATTGCCTGGACACTACAAATAATTTCTATATCTTTTCCAAAGGGCTAACAAAATGTCAACATCTTGTATTTTCTATGATAGATAGAATTAGAAAGCTAAACTGAGTAAAACAGAGCATGTTTGCTGTACCGTGTTCAGCCTTCCTGTCATCTGCTGAAAGTATTGCTCTCTCTTGCTCTTTTGCAGCCTGAATGACCCACAGACATTTTTCAACATATCAAAGAAAATACTATGTTCTTTTCAGTTATTTCTTATCTTTCTGTGTTTCATTTGAGTTAATTTTTCACACCTCTCTGATACAGAAAATCATAACAACTTAATTGTTTCCATACTAAACTGTTGGTTTCTCTGAAGACCTGAAAGCTCTCAAATATTTGCAGTTGAGTTCTTGGTGCACCGTTAGCTAAAAACAAACAAACAAACAATATATTTAGCTGGATATTTTACCTTTGTGGAGCAACAAAAGTACAACAAACTGATTTTAGCTGAGTAACTAGTTAGTCTACTTTAATTTAAAAATAGCAGTGTCTTAAGAGTAATGGGTGCTGCTCCTTTAGTTCCCAAGCAACAGATGTCAGTGGAAATATTTCTAATTGGCCAAATAATTTTTTTATTATAGGTTGAGGAAATGTGTGGGAGTCTTTTTTTTTTCTTTTTCGGTTTTTGACTTTTTTTAAACCTACTGGCGATTGACCCATGTTTAACCTGGACCAGTTCCTGGATGACCAAAGTCTCAGAGGAGATGCGGGAGGAAAAAATTCAGATGCTACTTCTCTGTGTTTGGAGTGAAACTTTATCACCTGAAAACTTTTCAGATTCACAAACGATTCTGTCAATTTATGCATAGAGAATCTATTTGAAAATGTTCTCACTTTTTCAAATTTTTTATGGATTTTCAGTTTTTTGTTTGTCAAAATTATCTTTGTTCTATAGCCCCGTAAGCCCTAAATGGAGCAGCTGCGATCCAGTCAAATTTGCAGTACCGTAATTCCCTCACATTGCGCCATCTGAAAAATTTCAATGGTTTCTGAAAGGGAAGATGCTGCTCTTTCCAGCCAGTATTGGGCTTTCATGGTAATTTCACCCCCGCCGCAGCAGGGGCACTCTTTTAATAGACGGTAAATTGTGAAAATAACTTGAAAGTCCCAGTTCTTATGTATAAATGGGCAAATATATTTACTCATAGGACATTTAAAGAACTAAGTACAATTAAAATAAGCAAATATATCCAAGTGAAGATTTTTAATGTAGGACATACAGGATTAATATTTAAAATATAAATATTTGTCATCAAATAGTTTTTAGTCTTCTCCAACAAGCTAGTTGGGGGCTTTTGTTTACATCTGCTGTAAACCGGTCTGTTCACATGAAGTTTTTTTTAACATTGCACATACCACCTTTAATGAATGTTTAACCAACATTTCAAGGAGGTCACAGTTTTTTCCACAATCGCTTTGCATCTAATTGCGAGCACAGGACTCTCAGCTTGTTGAACTCTTAATCCTTTGGTATCTGCTACATATTAGATTATTTTGACTAAACCAGATTACAGAGGTAATATGATTGAGGGACTGTGACGAACAACCAGGTCAGCAAGTTGTCAGCTGGTCTGCGGATGATCTCTAGATATAATCTTTTTTGGGGTTTTTTGTTGTTTTTTTTTTAAGATCTGCTGAATAATCTTCCACTAAGTTGGACAAACACAGAAGCAAACTCAGAAATACACAAATCTCCTCGTGACCCAATTCACCCTGATAAACTTCATTCAGTCCAATCTGAACTCAGCTGTCTGAATCTCTGTGGAGCACAGAGATGCTTTCTAAACTGCTGTTTCTGACAGAGGCACTCACATTAATTGAGCCTGTGTGACAGAAAGTGCCAGCGGACTCTCAGTGGTCATTGTTCAGAGGGTCAGGAGAATCAAAGTGAAGCAAGACACGCATGCAGTCAAGCTAACCAGCGCCTCCACGGCGGGCGTCCTCATGGGACGGTGCTAAAAACTTGACTGGCGCCTGCTTGGCAGTAGCTCCAGTGTTGGGGAGAGAGAAATGTTCAAGGACGAATTTTTAATCAATTAATGGCATGTAAGAGATCCTGTGTCGCATGTAGCGTCTACCTGACATTCCACACCTGGCCTGGTGTAAGTTGATCCCTTCTCATTGTGTACAAACTGATCTTGTCCTGCAGAATCTTGCAAGCATTATACATGCGTGTGTGTGTTTGTGTGTGTTTTGCGATCCCCAGGACCTGTCCACTCTGCAGTGTGATGTGTGTATCTTGGTGTTCTCAGTGACCGACAGGCGAAGTTTCCACCGCACCGCCCAGCTCCGCCTCCTTCTCAGGGAGTCCCAGCCACAAACGCCCATCATCCTGGTGGGCAACAAGAGCGACCTCGTCCGGTCCCGTGAAATCAGCTCAGAGGGTAGGTAGAGCTCAGGTCTTTAAAGTTGTACGCACCCACATCTGATGACGTTGAAACTGCTTCACTGCTCAAACTAAACATAGAAGTTGGATATTTCTCCATACTCACCTAAACATTTTTTAGGGGAGTTTTATGTTTCTGATGTTTGCCCTGCACCTCATGAAGGTCAGAACTCAATGTAAAACAAACCTCTAAAGTTAATATGACATACGTTTCCTAAAGTTTGAAGTTCCTTTGAAGACACCTTAGAAAATTTTAGAGTGAGCTCAGCTTTTGTCCAATTGTATAAAACAGTTTCTTGTTCTACACTTTCCTTTTTCACCGCGTCACAGGTTCCCAATACAGTTCAGTAGTTTACAAGACAGGAAGTTTGCTCTTTGAAAGGTCATAGTGCCTCCCATTATTGTCACTAAGGTAATGTTTCTTTTAAAAAGCACAGTTAGCATTTTAAGTGTCTATAGCCTGCAAACTGCAGGGTTGCTAACTGAATCTATAGCCCAGCTTGTTAGGTTCCCAGTGTTTCTGCATATCAGTGTATGAATGTGTGTGCGTTTGTGAGTGCGAATGGGTGGATGTGACTCTAGTGTAAAGCACTTTGAGTGGTCAAAATGACGGGAAAAGCGCTATACAAGTTCAGTCCATTTTACCATTTACTACAGTTAGTGGCTGTCGTGTTTTCTGGCTTTGTGAATCAAAAGCCAAATGACAATATCATTACAATAACAATCAGCACAATATTTTCTTTCACAATGTAATGATAGTTGCTTTAATGTTGTATATAAAAACAATCACATCATGGCCTGTTTCTATGTTTTCTGTTGTTGTTTTTTTTTGTTGCATTGAAAACTTAAAACCATGGTTCAGTTTTCATTTTGGTAATGATTCTGTCAATCTTCTAAAGTGGTCATTTTGAGAGAAGCAAAACGACGATAAACGTCTGATCTTCTCTCAAAAAGCTGTTCAGCTCAAATGCAGAGCTGAAGCACTGCATTTGTTATTAGTGCCAATGCATTCATTAATCTATATTTGATAGATTACAGCTAATCCATGCTGTGAAAACCCAATTTGCTGTATATAGTATAGTATCCTGTGCCAGGTTTACCTTTAATCTTTTATAAGGCTTTAATAGTTCTCCTTTAACCAGGGAACAGATATAATATTCAAAATAATTGGTTTGTCCCCTTTAATATCCCACTTTAACTTCTATCTATAATGTCACTTTCTAATCAGCAGAGGGCACTCTTACAGATTGCAGATAAGATATGGCCATAGTGCCATCAAATGAGTTGGCCCTCATTGTTAAATGTGTCTGTTGTTGGGTGTAAAACATAATTCCTCCCTTCTGTTTCTCAGGCTGCCCAGTAATATAGATTAAAGGGCAAAGGATTTGTGCTGTTTTTGGAAACTATGCAAAGACAAACATTGATTTAAAGCATTTGGTAGTTTATACCAGAGATTTTTGATTGGCCATGGAGGTAAGGATTAATTAACAGAAAAAAGTAATAGTATATTTTTATTTGAACGTATTTGTTTTTTTTATTATAAATGTCCAAATTGTGGTTTATTTCATGGTAAGTGATATAAAACTATAATGATTCCTTTCATAATGCTACAGTGTTTCCCCTGTTTTAATAGAAAACTCTATCAGCTCTATTTATTGTTTGCAATAAATTGAAAAATTGCAAACCATGCAAAGAAAATCACTTTCTTCAAAACACTCATTAAATAAATGTTGCCACAATCTGCATAATCCTTGCTAATGATGTTTCTGTAGCTCATGTAACTAGTGTTTATTGATACTAACCATTAATATTTATTAAACAAACTGCATTAGTTTTCTTCTTTTTTTTAAGGACTACTTTGTGAATTTGAAAATTATAGCATCCTAACAAGCATTAAATGATAAATTTTTTGGTCTGCCCAAGAGGGTGGTTGAATAAATTATTTCACAAGCTTATAACTTTATTATTATAAAGTCATAATAGAGGGTAAGAAACAGCAATGCTGCAAATGTTACATTGTGGATTTACAATGGTGTATAACTTTCTTCTTACTTACCGTAATCTTTGTTTTTAATGTGTCCACAAATCAAGTGCAATGATTAAGCCATTATTATGGCTTAATTCAGAATTAATTAAGCCATTATTATGACTTAATTTATCTATTAACCCAGTTCAACTTAATTTAAAAAGCATGCTTTTTTCACGCACTGCAAAACAAATACAAATCTGAGCTCCACTGTCAATTACCTTAAATTCAGTGATATGTTTTATGGGACTTACACTTAAAGCTTTCTTAAGGTTTAAGTGCATTAAATTAAAGTGTTTATGCAGTGTTGTAGTTAAAAACATTGATTTGTCAGAATCAAAGCAGCTTTATAGTAAATTTGGTTAAATGTGAATGAATAATCAGTTAAACAAATGAATAGATGTATGTTATTTTACTTTACTTTAAGGCTAGTTTTTCACAAACATGCACAGCATTGCTTTTATACATTGCATTGGATTGGGACTGTCATCAGCCAAAGGCTTGATCTTTTACCATTCTAGCAAAAAATCTCGACTGAATCTTTGCCAGACGTGGCAAAGTGTAAACAGTCTCCAAAAATGTTACTCTGTATTGTTTGAAATACTGACAACTCAGGTTAGAGCAAAAGCTACAATCATGTAGTTGCTTTAAGTTGACTTTACTAGTTTATTATTACGGTGGGCTGCAGAGGTTTAAGGTTTGCCCCGACCAGAATTTCACAGGTTATTGTGTGACGAACGCAAGATAAAAAATTTAAAGCAGTCTTTGTTTCTTTGTGTTGCCTTCAAGCAGTTCTTCAAATGGAATATCTTGAATGGAACATTTCTTGTAATTACAGTTATCTATCCTGACACTTTTGCTGCTGTTTTCAATGAGGAGTGACTAAAAGCCCAAAATAGAAGTGTGCAAATAATACATGCCCTCTCTCCCACACATAACACACACAGACATATCCGTTTTCCAAAAAAACAAACCTTGGTAACTGTGCACCAGACTAGCTATGTACCAGACTCTGTCTTTGATTAATAAAATTAATGTGGTTAACCATTGGCAAAACAAAAAATATATTTTTTGTAAAATATAGAAATACATATTTGTTTCTTGGCAAAATTTCTTGGTTTAACTAAAGCAACATGACTTTAACAGCACTAGATCTGAATTATTTTATGAATCACTGCATTAAATAAACAACAATCTATTTTATACCAACAGTAATATCTATGTATTGATTCATTGACTTTTTATTGAATTACAAAGCTGCTCATTATGTCAGATATTTTTAGTTGACAATGGGAATAAGTGAATCACAATTGATGTAATATTTTTTAATCAAGTACCACAACTACATGTAATGCACACTAATTTCTCAGAGTGAATAAAATTCAATGTCCGCTGCCTTGTTTATGCATTCCAACTGAGAGATTTATCGCTTAAATTCACCCAAATCTCATTTTGTTCAAAAAGCAACACCTGCAGACAACACTTCCAATTGGCCAGAGTTTGCAAACCTTGACTTACAACCAATAAATGATGTTTGTGTTGATTGACCAAAACGTGAAATGCACCTTTTTTGTTCTGAATATCAGAAATGTAGGACAAAGGGCGCTTCTTGACAATTTAATGTAGGACACCTCCTCCATTTATACAATACAAGACAAGGCTTTTAGGAATGGTTTGCAATCCTAGTCAGAAACTCATAATTACTTCACTTATTCTGGAAAACTTTGAGTCACCTTCACTCTGTAACAGCGTCCACACCGAAAAGTATCCTAAGAGGGAGTAAAGTAGTTGCAATGAAAAAGGTAGTTTCTGACCTACTGAAACACTTCCTTTCCTAGGTCGATTTTTCTGTCATTTTTACTATTTGTTGGAAATAATGAATAATATTTCTGCCTTATTCTTTTTTTATGATTAAATGTTGTTTGCAAAACGGGGATGCAAAGATGGGCAGTGTTCTGTCTACAGTTCAAGCTTGACTTACCTTTCAAATATTTACATGTTTAGTAGATTTTGAGTATTTAAAAAAGCATCATTTTTACTATTCGTACATAATTTTAAAATATCTCAAAAACCTGGTGGGCATGAGTCAATAAAAACGATAAATCATATTAATGGGACCTTTAAACATGATATAAATAATGACATTTTTTAATTAAAAAGTGACACTCAAAAAATATTTTAAGATTTTATTTTATGGAAGGCACTTTTGGGCTTCCACAGACTAGTGCGTGTCACTCCTGCTGTCCTGCTGTCTTTGGCATTGTCACTGTTGTGGCGTCTTAGTTGACTGTTGATTCTAAACAGTGACGGCTATATTGCTGTCTTCAGAGCTTTCCCATCAGCCTGAGCTGCACTCTGCTACATCATCCATGCCGCTGTGAGCTCAGTGACAGCAGAATATATTTCTTAGTTTTATGTGGTTTCACTGTTATGGATCAGTCAGAAATGTACTCAATAGAATCATCTGATGGGATGTTTCTGAGTAAATTCATTGGACTCTTCTGTGAATGTTTCATGGCGTGCTGCCAGGCTGAGCTATTAACTAGATTTCATTAACGTTTAGAATAGAAATTAGTTCACAGAGGAGTCCAGTGGGAGGAAAACGATTGACCTTGATTACAATTTGAAATCAGTGCGCGCGCACGGAGATGGAAGACCCTGAAACATCTGCCGTAATCTCAGCAATTTCAGCCGCATGTCAAGTTAGCAAAAGCAAGCGCTTTGGATCCCCTTGGGCTTTTCCCCTTGTTTTGGTTTTGTTTTGCTTTCCAGATGGCAGGTCTCTATTTGCATTATCTGCCTCTAGCAGGACACCACAGCTCCTGCGATCTTTATGTTTGTTTGGAGCAACCGTATGTGCACAAGCGGCTGCACGTCCACAGACACATTCGATGTGTTAACGAGCGTTCCCATCATCTCTCTCCCCATCTACTCGCTGCCTGATGTCGGCAGGGCTGTTGTGAAGCAAGGGC